AATCCTCCCACAAGTCATTTGTTTCGATTTTTTCTTCTTCTTACAATTTTTTTTGAGGTCTAGGCATGTAAATTCATATAAGATGTAAGAAGAAAAGAGAATCTTATCTGTCTTTTCTGAAATGCAGAATGGTAGGAAACAGTGAAAAATCTCTCTCAATTTTTACAAAAAGCTGATGTTCTGCACATTAGTCCGGTGATCTGGAATACTCGCTGTGAAACTGCCAACTCTACATCTCAAAACTTCTTTGACACAGAATAGTCCTGAAATTAGTGGTATCTTACATAGCAAATAAAGTAACCAGAGGGATCAGAGATGTACCTTTCTGGGTGAAGTACAAGCGGACTGGGCTACAAAATACATGTTATTTTTTACCAAGACAGTGCACTATATATATTGGTCAAATATTTCAAAGGCAAGGGAATGCAGCTCCCTACTTTGAGAGTCAAAATAAAAATGGTCAGATATTCAGAGATGCTTGGGTCTTGGGACTCTCTGTCTTTATAAATCCCTATTCCTGTCTGGTTTGAGGCTGACATCATGGTCAGATGTGTTTTGTATGTGTAGTCTTCCCTTCTCTGTAGATACACCCAAAGAGAAGCCGCAAATACATGTATTCATACAGAAAGTGTTCAATTCTTGTGCCACATATCAGTGTTTCAGCACAGACAGCTGAAGTTCTCTGAAGTTTTGCACATCTCCACATTAGACTATACATTGTCCAAGAGGAGAATCAAATTTACAATGAAGCGTAAATTTTTCCATGGACGTTAGCTGCACGGAAAGCACGTAGTCACAGTTAGGAGCAACCACCACCTTGGCACCTCGGGCCTGCCAGAGCGAAATGTTTTCCCGAGGTAGTCAAGCCCTTGTGTCTCGTAGGAGGGGAGGATATTACAGTCCTTCATTACCAAGTGCAAAGTAAAGGACCAAGGCAAAAGAGTGCACAGAGACCTTCGTTCTACTCCTTTGGGCATGTGTGCATCGTGCTGTGATGCCTCATCCGACGTGAGAGTTGGGAAGCTGCGGCCAGCAGTGTTTGAGGTTTCTCTTCACGTAGCCATAGCATTACCCATTGCACGCAAGCCAAGCCGTATTTTGTGTTTCGGAGTCATAATACCTGCTGCTTGGGCAGGGCAGAGCACCACCTCCTCGTCTGCAACATATCGCTGATCAACTTGCATAGGAGGTGTAACTTTTTCCCTAGACATTTACTCGTTAAACTGCCCATACGTTTAACTTGGAAAGAACCCAAACTGATAGCGCTATACTTTGCTTTACTGTGTAAAAGGGAGGATCTCACTTTCCTTCTAGTATACAGACATATCATGTATATATAGTATCTTCTCTAAGTGGTAGTCGTCTTCTAGATAAGATTACTTCTTAAGAAAGCCTTAAGAAATTGCCAGGTAAATTGGACTCCACAGCCCATATTTTACTCTTCAGCCTATCCCTAGCTGTGGAAAAAAATTAAAGTAGTCCATGAATAATAGTTACTCACCCCCAAGGCATGGACGAGAAAAAATTGCATTGGTAGCACAGCTTTGTTTCTGTTTCCTTGTTATACAAGTGTGGTTTTCCCTTCCCAGCCATGTCATCACTGGGCAGACATGATGAAACATGTGCTACGGTTGCATAGCTGGCCTAGGTAAGCTTTACTCCAGCTCAGAAGCTCTTTGCTTGGGCAATATTAGACCAGGGATTATGAAGCAACACATGAACCTACAAGTTTTCATTTGTATGTCGATACACACAACATCTTCTAGTGCATCAGCACGTCATTGCCTCTGAGCTACAAGAGCTGGGCATAGCCTGTGTTTTATCAATGGGCTTTGCATGATACATCTCTGTTTTCAAATCAAAACAAAGCCCTTCTTCTCTCCAGCATGGATTCGTCTAAGAAGTATGGGCCTAAGGAGTCCTTGCCCTGGATCTGGCCACCGCTGCATCTACTCCGGGTGGCCGGCTGTCGGGGACAGGCAGGCTCACGCATGCCTGCGCTCAGTGCCGAGCCAACCGGAGCCCTGATCCTTGCTGATGCCACAGAGCATTACTGTAATGCAATTAATACACCGGCAACCTCAGCGTATGTCCTGTACACTGTCAGCAGCACGTTCAAGCAAGTTTAAAGGGAAATGCTTACATCGAGGGCAAAGTTTACCGTGGCAGTGGTGTGACAGCTCACCGGTTGTACCCTGCCTCAATGACAGGAGAGAAAGCTCCAGAGCCTGCAGCGACCAGAAAGAGCCCTCCAGGCTTCGTTTCCCTCATTCCAGACAAAAACGACCTGATGTCAGTTCCAGCCCAGCTCACAGTGACTGCAGATATACGAGCTTCTGTCTAATTTTAGAAGCTTTGAAAAACCCTCTTTATTTAGCAGCAGTATCTACCCTGAATAGCAAACATCCACACATTAGTATAAAAATATTTTCATTTATATTCAGAATTTGATAATTAGCATAGTCATTACAATGTTAAAAAAGAGATCAGGATGACTACAAGTTGTCTGTAGCTATAGTTTTAGCACTGAAAAAGTGTTTGATCCACATAAAACAAAAGCATATTAGCAGGGAATACCTACTCATAGAGGAGACTTTCAGAAAGATAATATTCTAGCACAGCTTTTTAGAAACCTCAGATGTATAAAAAATTATTCCAAAGCTCTACAAATAAAGCCAAACAAAAGCCCCAACTTTCTCCTTTCTGTATGGTCTGGAACAGTAAGGACATAAGGGCAAGGATAAGGAATGGCAAAACAATTCAGAATAAATAACAATAAATTAATATTTCTACCAATGATAAGTAATTAGGCTATGAAATTTAGAATCAGAAATTACAGATGTGCCCACTGGATTTTGGAGGGAGTGTATGAAATTTTAGCATATTTGTTTTCGATTGCATATTACAAATAGAGTTTCATTACTAAGGATATTAATCGACCACTGTGAAGACAACCTCAGGAAAAAAGTTTAATTTACAGTTGTAACTATTGCATTCTCAGGATGTCACCAAGGTGAGCACCACAGCTACACAAATCTGGAGGGCAGAGCCTGACACTCATCCTCTACAAGGGAAGCGTCTTCTTAGTGTGATGTGGATACCAACGCCTTTCCCAGCAGCACTGGAGTGAGAGGGACTGCAACTGCTGCTCTTCGTGTTGAGCAAAATCCTGTCGCAAGGTGTTAGGAATACGTGCAGCCTGTCTGTCAGCTCAGGGCTCCCAAGGACTTCATTCCAGGGGCGACAAGGGATTAGGTGTGAAATAGATCCCCGGGCACTGTTGATGAAGGCTAGCTTTTGCCAAAAAGCACAAGTTTCCTCACACCTGCATGCACAGGGAAGAGATACGCTCTCCAGTGTGTCACTCAAGCATTAGCTTCCAGTTCTGACTCGCCTTTCAGAAAAGACCTCCTCTTTCATGGACTGCAGAAGAAGCTAGGGAAACACTGTTTGGAAGCTAAAGCTATTTTTTACCATTATCCCATTCCCATTGCCAGCACACTAAGTTTGCCAAGTGTGTTGAATACATGACTGGTGTTCAAAAGACCTTCTAAGAAAATTCTTGCCTCTGTCATCTCAAGCAACCATGCAGGACCAGCAGGTATTCTCCAGTTTGCTCTTCTAGACTTGAAAAGCCTTGTGGTATTTGGGTTTACATCCTTGATTCCTTCTCAGGATATGATCTTACATACCTAACTTCTAGGCCAGAGAAAACCTTAAGGAAGTAAGAAATTACTTTGCAGTTCTCTGATTTTTTTTTTCCTATGCTTCTGCCACAGGACAGTTTCTGGTACTTATTCTTTTATGTGCACCTTATCTTGATACTGATCTAGCTACGTGATGGAAAGGAAGAATTAATCATTCAATTCTCATATTTGACATTTCCACTAAACACTTTCAAATTCACTTGAGAAGTAGATTTTGAAGACAAGTTTTATAAAGCCCCTGTAGAAAAAGAGACTTTAAAAACTCCATGAAAATAATTATCGTTTCTTTTATTTGTGCAAGTGATTTAAACCACTCAATTCACCAGTATGAAAAGACAATTCAGTGAATCTGGGCAAGAACTGTGTTTGAGATGACAAATGCACTGGCTTTGCATGCTGACCATGCTGTTTTTACAGCAAGGCTGGTCTTTGACTCCTCGCTGAAAAAGAGTGGAGAGGTCAAATGAAACAGACAAGTAGTGCCTGAGTAAGGAAGGAACCTACTGCTTTGCCTCCTGCCCATCCTCTGAACTTCCTACAGGGATTGTCAGTCTGAGTTGTGAAAATCTGTCCATGAAACCTCCCATTTTCCCAGGCTTTGCTGCTATTGACTGAGCATTCCCTTCACAAACAGGTCTGATGGTCCACTTTTCCAGCTATTTCGTCTTAAAAGAATTGTTCTTTTCATATGTAAGCAAGTCAAACTTCTCCGGTGAAGCACAATGCAGAGATCTCCTTTGATATGCTATTAACCTCTGATGGCAACACTGCTGGTACTAGACGACCACCTGAAATCAAGTCTCTTCGCTAGCTTTAACTCTACTTTCAAGTACCACTTTGAAACTTAACGAGACATGATGAAAACTGGTTGACAACTCCTTTGCTCTCACACCTCTGACATCTCTCCCTGAGCATAGCCTCAGTTACGTAAAATCTTGAGAAGACTAGCTCAATGTAAAGATGATTTGTTGTTGTTAAAGATGATCAGAAGCAAAGTAGCACCTCTAACTGTTCGTGCTTCTCTGTCCCAAAATTTCTCAGCATAGAATGAGGTTGAGTAGCAAGAAGAGAACAAGCAGCAGTCTACCAGGAGCAAAGCACCATGGCTTTTTGGAGATACTGCAAACTCTTGGCAGACAATAAAAAAGGCTCAAAAGAGTGACTCAGGCCTTCCAGGCAGAAAAGGTGAGGCTGCATGAGATCAAGTAGTACCAGGAAGGAAAAAGGCTATTACACTAGCAGAAGAAGGGAGGGGAGGGAAGCGAAGCTGAGGCACTGCTGACTGGTGACCTGTCAGCCTGAAGGTAACTCCAAAACACTCAGTGGAGTAGCTGGGTCTGGCATCCTGGGAAACTGGTCGCACATGTTGCTGGCGAGGTGGGCAGTAAGCCAGCAGTTCTTAAACTGCAAGGCGTGTGTGTACACCTGCACAAGGAGAGTACACATGCAGAAGATACATGTGCGAGTAAAAGTCTTGAGAACTGTTTAATACAGTCCCCAGACTTTTTTTTTTTTGCGGGGGGGGGGCACTTCCTTACAGCATATAAACTCCTTGGTCGTTCAAAATTCATACATAGTGGAGATGAAGAACTAGGAAAAGCCAACCCAAACTAATCCATTCTTCCACATCTAATGGGGCAAATAATGGTGGGCAATTTTCTGAAATCAGTAGATGACACCTTTTGCATGTTCACAAACAGGAAAAACGGATTAGACTGCAACATTTTCAAAATAATTGAGATTTAAAGCATCTTCCATTCCTCAAGTGGGGTTTGCACAGCAATACTGTATCACACCCAGCTTTTCCTACAATACGTAGCATGAAATTGCCCAAATTGAGATCCCTCGCAAAAAAACCCAAAAGAACTGAATTTGCACTGACACGCAGGAACTATCTCTGAGACCATGTTTCTTATTTTCTACCTTGCAAGAAAGGCATCAGGACATTGCAATTTTGGACTTATTTGGGCCAGCAGTTAAAAACTTGGTGCAGAAATGTTCACTAACACTGCTGCTCCTAGTTGAAATCTTTATAAACGATACCATTTTCTTTTTCTAAAACAATGCTGCAGATATTTAAAAAGGGAGTACCCTGACCAGCCTGTGTCATCTGAATGGCACATTCATCTGTTTCAGGATTATTTTCCCTACGCAGTGACAAGAACTTCCACATAAATAGGTATTTGTACGATAAACAGGTCTAAGGTGATTCTAATCATTGCTTTAAATCTCCAGGTAGTAGAGATGTAGACATTTGAAATGCTATCACCTGCTGTCAGACACCCTACCTGGACGTGGTGTTTGTATTTAGTTAATCCTAGTGGTTTTAGGGCCTGTTCCAGTTCCTCTTATATTTGGGCAAGCACCCGCACTTTCGGTGGGCTAGAGAATAGCAACATGCAAAGTCAAAGCTCAGCCAGCCCCGCTTTGTTCTGCATGACTGACCTTAATACCCTCTGCATCCACAGCCCCAGGCTGTGCACGTCACGGAGATGTCAGAGCAGCAGGTCGCTCGGCTTTGTTTCAGTCAACCAGGCAGCAGCAGAAATTGATACTGTTTGAACAGCTTGCAGCAAAGTTATCTAAATGCTTAGGGGATAAATTCATTAAAGATTGTCTTTAACATACTTGAAAAACAAATTCGTACCTTTATCTACGTGCTACAGGGAGACCAATTTTCTACGTATTAGCATAATAATCACCAGAGGAGTACCTCCATGCCCATATTGCTTATTTATATCACCTCAATATCTTGTAGTCTTGAGAAAGCACATTTTTAGCTTTATTTTTCTGTCCTGGATGTTTTCCTTCACACCTTACATATTCAAACCCTAGTCATTCTTTCTTTTTCATGCACAAAACATGCAGGAGTTTTACTGCTGCAAATCGCAGCTACTAGCAGGCACAAAGCAGCGTCAGCTAACACCTCATCCACTGAATCGTCATTCATCACTCACCAGCTATGTCACAGGCCTTCAGCCTAACGTGAGCAAAAGCGTTGGGCATCTCTGGGTTGAAACGAAAGCACCCAGTAAAGAGCGTGTCTTTACAGAGCAGGATGCATATCCATGTGAGTAAAGACAAAAAAAAAAAAAGAAAATAATTTTAAAAATCACCTTTCTTCAACAGTGGGGAGGATTTATTTTGGCTATAAAAAGCCTGAACTATGATCTTCATTTTTCTCCTTCTTCTCTTTGTAAATATAAACCCCGATCTTGGGCGAATATAAACACTATAGAAACTGAATATTACTTAACCCCTCTTTTACTCTTCAAGTACTTACAGATAGCTGATTATTTAAGATGGAGGTAAGTGTTTCACATTTAAACACAAATTTACACACTTGCATCGTTGTACAAACTGTCAAAGAAAAAACTTTAAAAAAATCACAAAAAAAAAAATCAGTGATACAGTTAAGAGGGCTTCTGAGCATATGAATACATGATTAACCAGGGAATGAACAATTCTGCAATGTTTTTCCATTTGAACAATTCTTTCCCTGTAAGGCTTCTTCAGGTAAAGTCATGCTATATGATGTTCCTCTAAACAAAAGAAAAAAAAAGAAAAGAAAAAAGAAACCAAAACTGCCCTTTCAACAGCCTTATTGCTATTTGGTTCACTTGCTAGGATACTTTTTTAGCTTGACAGGATTTAAAATCCTCTCAGTTTCAGATGTTCTCATAACTCCTCCACTAGAAGGGAGCTCAGTAGCAGGTTCAGGAGCTCAGCACTCTGAAACCCCTCGGAAGGGTTGGTGGCCTAATAAGAAAAGGATAACAGACTGCGGAGAAGGTATTAATCCCAGACTAAGTTGTTCACACCTATTGTAACCACGTCAAAATTTTATTGACCCATCTGTCCCAATCGACTTATCTCACTCTCTATTTTTTGTAAACACACGGAGGAGGCCACCATAAAACATCATCAAACGTCTTTAGCACAGCTCTGCTTCTCCAACATATCACTTTGACTTCCACATCCTGGTGAAGAAGTTGCAAAGATCTACCTTGAGAGTGCTGGTTACAACAATGTTGCGTTCAGAAAGGACAGTGTCCTTTTACAAATCTCGGCAAAAGCAAGGTAAAACTAGTTTCGGATTTGTGCCCTAGGTCTGCTGCCAAATTTACTTTGGAAACATAGGTACTACAATTTTATGGAAGTCAGGCATCTGGTTAACAACAGGCAGAACTAACGCCTCTCAATAGTACTGTACCTGCAGTTCTGAAAACTGGTACTTTAATTAAGTTTTCATTATGAATTGAACTAAAACAAAACGGATGCACATGAAATACACGTGCAGTTGACACCTTCACCTGCACAGCCTGAGGAGAGATCGACCCTCCCAAACCCACAGAGCTTTGCAATACAGATGAGACATCTAAGCACTTACTTTAATAAATAACAGGGTTGGACATAGGGCTATAAACAACAAATAAAGCTCTCTCTTTGATCTTTATAAAATATTTAATGTAATCTCCCAAAAGTGAGCGACAAAAATATTACAAAACTAAACTTCAAAGATAGTTCTTTTCTCCAGTTATAAAAAAACCCTAACTTACCTCTCCTTTTGAGCTAAACTTAGCTACTTTTATGCAGAATGAGTAGCTCTACTGTGTGTTCACAGTCTCATTACCTTGTAACTTTAATTGCTGAGCTAAATTTACATTTAGCAAATTTCACACTCTCTTGAGAGGAAGAAAATGGCCAGGACTTAGCAACAGATGAATTACAAACATAGTATTAAAATCCACATAGTATTAAAAAATCCACTCTGTATTTGCAGCTTGCTGTCCATGATGAACACTTCCCAAGTTTTCTTCACATTTTTGTATTTAATAATTTTCAAAAATAACAACCACTCTAATAATATTTTGCATTCCACTGAATACAAATTTTGTAGGAAATAATGTCCAAAGAGATCCACCTTCACTGTAATATTAGTTTAATAGCTAATGTGCATTATTCACATTCATATGCAAATACACGTGATATTAGTCTGACATGCAGAGGACAGAGTTAGCTGCTTAGAAAGACGCATTCATGCATCTTAAGCTGCTCTGAGCCACTAGTGTTAGAAGATCTGTTGATCCACTACGTTTTCTTTCAGGAGAACATTTAAATGGTTCATTCTGCTGCATGTTAAACTGGTCAGTGTTGTGGCTCTCTGTCTTGTTCAGATTTTGTTGCATAGGAGAAAAGCCTTCTGTACAGCCTGCTGTTTTTAACACACTAAAGGCAGAGACAGTTGTTTTTCTGTTCTTCAAGAACTCTTCTTCTTGCTTTTCTGTTCTTCCTTAAGATCTTTTGCATTACATCTGGACCCCAATGCTGTTAACATTTCCATTGTGGTCAAGTTGGCTCCCTTCATTATCAATCGCTCTCCATCAGCTGAAAAGGGAAAAAAATTTAAGAAGTCACAAAGTCTAAGTCACAATTACTCTAGTGTGCAGTTCTGTTTTGTATATGAAAATCCAAATACCTTGTTCATCTTGTCTGATTAGAAAGTACTCTACTTACCAAGGAATCTGATTATGCACCACCAACAAACAAATATATTAAACTGCACAAAAGACACATGTAATTTTCATTTCCATATTGCATTACTGAAAAACCTGAAACATTTGTCTAGATATACCTATAGTAAGAACACATATTTGATGAGAATGGCTCACACTATGCCCTGAAAGTCATCTAACAGAAGGCACAGAAGGCACTGGAAGGCATCATTTCCACACATTGCTCAGTGTTTTAGCAGCATGTTGACTATGGTCTGCTTAACTTACGTCTTTAGCTAAAATAATGACTTGGTTTACACAATCTGGTAGTTATAATGTAAAAAAATACAGCGCACTAGGATTTCTAAAATTCTGAAAGAAATTATTTAGAAACAGGGAGAAGGCAGTAGAAGTTAAGTATTGTACCTAAGTTAATTATTTATTTTTTCAAGATTTGCAAATACAAAAGCCACATTCAAAGCCATATAATGCAATATCATGCATGGCATCAGAGTTCCAGCCCCACGTTTGCCAACTACAAGGGCTGCAAACTCTTCACTTAGAAAATAATCAGCTCTTAGAAAACAAAGAGTTCAAAGCTGTAGCTCTTGGCATTAGTGAAATAAATTGTTTTGGTTTTATGCTGTGAAAAACATTACGCTTTAGTGCTTAAGTCTTAATACATCACAGTTACAGACAAGGATAGGAAAGACAAGAGGCATAGGGGAGGGAGAAACAAGCAATGTCATCACTGAAATAGCTAGACTTTCCTTAGCAAAATGAAGTACATTCAACACTCTTGACATTTCTACCAATTCACTAAGTATATAGAAGTTTAAAGAAAAGAGGGTAGCAAGAATCAATAACGATGAAAACTTTAAGGGGCTATATGACATATTGGTCCATTACAGCACAGCAGGAAAGAAGATGCAGCCAGAGAAAAGGAGAAAAGCAGATTAGAGCCATCTGTTCACAGCCTAGAATCTGGGCCGCTTCCAGAACTGATGAAATTTCCACCACCAATTCCCTGCCTGCTCACTACACCCTCAAAGGAAACCAAGAAATTTGTTGTACATCAGTTGACCTCATTCTGCAAGTCCATCTGCACACGTATGGTCTTATCCATATGAGCAGTTCCTGCAAACTGCATAGTAAGTTACTCTGTTGCATAAGCAACTAAAGGTATTCAATTTTTCTGTCCTCAAGACTGAGATGCCTCCACCACAGACAACATAAAAAAAAAAAATACAGAAAGTTAATAGATTCTTACATCAAAATAGAGCTGCACTTACTTCCCTGGAATTGTACCTGACTGCAAAGTCACACAAGTATGTCACTTCGAAAGTAGACTTAACCCTAAAGTGACATCGGTTCTTTGATCTAAGATCCACCAGATAGAACTGTAATACGAGGACATATATACACATTTATCCAGACATCAGGCTGTTCTTCCTTATTTCCTCCCAGCTGCACAACATCTAGGTACAGATTAGAACCAAAAAAAAAGTAACCAAAGTACAAAAAAAAAAAAAAATCAGAGAAGGCAAAAACATTATAACAACACAAACCTGGAAGGTCTTTTTTTTTGTCAAGATTGAAAACAAGCTTCTTACCAAACATAACATCTACAAGTGGTTCAGACCCATCATGTCTCACATCAGCAGTCACTTCACAGTTTCTATTAGTGGCCTGGACTTTTTTATGGTTTATATATCCAAGGAATTTTCTGAAAACATATTTGAAAATACATTAAATATGTTGTTATAGTAAGCATATTTCTAAAATTAATTTGAATACCTTGATATTGCTGGGCAACAAAAGTATAAACAAAATAGGATTTGTACTTAATAATTTCAGACAAGTACTTCTTACGAGATAATCACTCTTAAAAATACAAATGGATAGTCCTTATATGCTAATACGTTATGAGCATAACAAAGAATTTTGCAAAAACGTAGTGTACGAACTTTCTATGTTTCTCTCAGCTAGGTTAGTAACAATAATAAAAAATAAATCAGCAAAGTAATTTTCATTTTTCTTTAAACACTGGTTGCTTGCCAATGTTTCATTATTTGGGTTTGAGACAGCATTTATTTATTTAACATCATCGGTCTCCCACAAATTTCTGAAATGCATGACAGCTACTTGACATTGTGGCAGCTTAAAGACATTCTAAGTTAACTTGCGTTACTAAGTTCCATTTCAAAAGCAGAGGTGTCTGTAAAGCTATTGCAAAATGGCATCTTACAATTGTTTGGTGCAGAACTTACATCACTCAAGAAGCATAATTACTTATATTTCTCCAACAATTAATTACTAGAACAGCACAGCAGCTGTTGCCCCCCCTCTCTCCCATTACCAGCATTTGGACTAGTGATTACAGACCCTCACCTACAGCCTCAGCAACTCAGAGGGGCATCTCCCTGGGTAGTTTGGCAAAGCTAAATGCACATGCCTACACGCAAGGGTCTATGCTTAGGCACAGAGATTCTCCAAACATCAGCAAAGAAGGAATGCTGTGTGCATCCTGGCAACACTTACCATAAACAGAACCCTTACGACAAACACAGCATCTTCCCATCCTGAGACACTAAGGTTCTGCCTAGACTAAGATACAAAGCCCTGATAAATGCAAGCCTTCAAAGACCAAGGTTATGAAAGTTAAAGTACAGCAGATGCATAAGTTTGGGAAAAGAAGGTTCTTCTCCAGAGAGGGAACAACAGATGCTGCCACTTCCCTCATGATTTGCTCCCAGGACGTCTTC